GCCTTTTACTGAAGAGTGGCTTTCATCTGGCCACTCAACCATACAGGCCTGATTGGTGGAGAGCTGCAGAAGTCATTGGCCTTCTTAAAGGTTCTCCATTCTCCACACAGCAATGCTGGAGCTTTGTCAGAGTGGCATCGGGTTATTGGTCACGTCCATGACTATGGCTCTTCTACCCCTGATCACTCAGATCAGGGTGGGCAGTCAACTCTAGGAAGAGTCCTGGTGGTTCCAAACGTCTTCCATCTATAGATGATGGAGGCCACTTAGGGCTGGGTATCGTCACTGATTTCTAGAATTGATTAAATTCCGATTTACAAGGTCCCGAATCGATTCGATTCACGATTCGATTAAATTCGAATTGATTAAATTCGATTTGAATCTGGGAAATTTTGACAGTCAGAAATATTATAATTCAGATCAGTACATTTACATATTTTTGTATCTATAAAAAGGAAGCTGACAAATGCAAGACTTTATCAAATGTGTGAGCATCACAGCAGATGCCTTTGTGTCAAAGCAGCTGAAGATAAAATACAGAAAAACATGAAGGTGGTTTTCCTGGCCTGGGATTTTATAAAAATATTCTGCAGTACATCAAAAACGAAAGAAAACCATTAATCAACATATGAACGTTACCTCTGAGGTTCCAGCGGTTTTATTAGAGACACAGCTAAGCGTTTTTCATTTTGCATAATTTGAAAAGGTTTAAATTTGTTCAGTATTGAACGGCAGAAATTAGGTTTTCTTTTTGGGATTTTTAGACAGGAAACTGTTCTTGAGAGAGAGAGAGAGAGAGAGAGAGAGAGAGAGAGAGAGAGAGAGCGAGAGCGAGAGAGAGAGCGAGAGAGAGAGAGAGCCATTTCAAGAACCATTTCTTTCAGTGGTTCATTGAAGAACCTTTAAAGGTGCCCCAAAGAACAATCAAGAAATGGTCCTTTGGGGCATCTTTCAAGGTTTTTCAAAGAGCCTTTTTTAAAATGGTTCTTTGAAGAACTAGTTTTAAAAAGGTCTTTCAAATGGTTCTTTAAAGACCCATCTTAAACAACCCTTTTCTGAGTGGTTCTTTAAAGAACCATTCTAAATCTTTTTCGAACCAAAAGATAAAGCTGCCATAACTTGTTACCCTTTTCAATCCTGGAGCCTATGAGGAAAGGCAGAGTCCTAAATAATGTCCATTTCTCAACATCAGTTCCAGAGATATTTCCATCCAGTGCTACCTTCTCAGGTATTAGAGCAGGTTTGGAGGTGCATTCATTCTGTCCAAAACCAAAATTCCTTATGCTGTCATTAACCTCTTGGATAGTAACTGTTTTGTCCTTGTGCAAAGCTTTTAAAACAGACTTCAAATCAAGAGGAATGACCCCCTCAAGAAAATCATGCATTACATCAGGTGGGAATGCATTTGTGGTATCAAAATATGACAGCTTGTTGAAGGCACATGGGCCAGTTACACCATACACTGACCTACAGTGGGGGTCATCCTCAACACATTGCAGATGGTATGCATGAACAGTCTTTGTCCTAAGAATACAATCTCCCTCACTAATGATCTTAGACAGGTCCTCGTAATGGCACATACAAAACCTGCATATTCTACCATTACTGAATGAGCAGCTAAAACCGGCAAGTGTGTGAGAGGTTAGGTTGTCTGCAGATATTGCGGCCAGACCACCTTTGATGCAGTACTGTCTGTCTTCAAATTTTAATCGTAATCCACATTCTTGCAAAACCTGTAGGTCACAAATTAATGGTTCTAATATTTTCTCAAATCCATATGTTTTCACCAATCTATGTTTGACAAGTATCAACAGATGAATATGTCTTAAAACAGATCTGTCTTTTGGTGGAATATTTCCCAAAGTAAAATAAAATGCAGACACTTTATGTAGAAGTTTCTTTGATCCTAATGGATTAGCAAATTCAAATTCATCAGTGTACAACTGAATTCTCAAATGTGGGTTGTCTGTGTTAAAAAATTCACTTTCTTTGTAAATTTTCCCATCACTAAAATCTTTTAAGGTTTCAGGAGCACGGGGATCTGGCCTAAAATTGTGTCTTAAAATGTTAGGATCATTACATATTAATTCCAAGACTTTTAGAAGTGGAATATACTGAAAAGTGTCCTGTTTCCCAGTAAAAGGATCTATCCCCAGGATACATTCAACAGGTTCAATCAGGTTTAATTTCTCAACACAGTATCTGTCTAGTTGATATGTGTTGCTGACCGCACTGAAGCAATGTTCTACCAAACTACTGTCATCAATATAATGAAAACTTGATATATCAAAATTAAGAGTCTGCAAACATTTAGTAAATATCTTCCTATAGTTTTCAATAAAAGACTTGGAAAGTGACTCTACTTCACTAAGAACAAATGTTTGAACTTTTCTATTTACAATACTTTTCTCTTGAAGATTCAAGGAAAACAATGCCAGTTGTTTTCTCACAGTCTCTGCAAAGTTCTCTACAAGTTCACTCAGAGCTCGTTCAGATGATCGGGGAAATTCAACAGTTTCCTGGATGACAGGGTCACAGTCTGGGGCAGACTCTAATCCATGTTTCTGATATTTATGTTTCTTCCTTATGTGATTTTTCAAAGATTTCACAGACAAAAACTTTCTGGGACAGTCTTCTAGTCCGCAGACAATGAAGAATCCACATTCACTTAAATGGTATATCTGTTGACGTTTCAGCAGTTTTTCATATGTTGGTTTTCTTGTGGAGCATCGTGGACACTGATATGGCACATCCATAGAAATGCTCACCTACAAAGACCTGTTGATAATCTGCCAATTCATTTTCTCCAAGCCAAAGAGATACTTCTCCAACAGTCCACTGCTGAGCCATGATCTGCTAAAACAAAACAAAATGCACATTACATTGTTTTATTCTGTGACATCAAAAACATATTTATTTATTTTTTGTTCATTCATTTTCCGATCGGATCGGAGGGGTGCTGGAGCCTATCCCAGCTGTTTTTTTTAGGTGGGGTAGACCCTGGACAGGTTGCCAGTCCATGGCAGGGCCGTCATTCAGATATGTATGTCTTTGGACTGTGGGTGGAAACCCACACAGAAACAGGGAGAACATGCAAACTCCACACAAAAACACACCCGGTTGACCCCGGGAATTGAACAGAGTCTTTCTAGCTGTGAGGAAACAGTGCTAACCACTATACCACCGTTTATTCTAACTTTTAAGCCTTCTTCGGATAAATGTTGATTATTTTATGCTTTGGATTATCTGGTCTTGTTAGTATAATGACCTCTTCTTTGCCTAATGTATGATGTTTGATAAATGAAATGTACAATTTTTTTTAAAACTATATTACAAAAGGACATCTATCTTGGTAACATCAAATGACCGGAGCATAATTTGTCAACTACTCTGAAAATAAGTTATACAGTAACAGTCAAAGACACAACTTCTCATGTGTCACATTTCTATTTATTCAAAACACTTATGCATCGCTGTATTTTATACAGCTACTCCACAATTCAAAGTAGAGGCTACTGAATTTCTGAGTTTCTAGACCAGACACAGAGCTCACACAACAGGCTTCAAGCGCCATTTTGGTGACAACATTACTAATTTTAATATTGGTCTAGCTGACATTAGTTTATGTACGCAGCACGCAATAGAACCACATATTTTAGAGGCCTAATTAATTGGGAGCACCTTCACAACACGCTAACAGCTTCACTGCTCACCTTTCGCTCTTATGATCTAGTCAACCTTCATGTGCTTGAGTAAGAAAAACAATATCTCACTGTACAGTAACTGATCAGCCAGTATGGTTTTAGGAAATTTTGAATGAGGCAGAATGACATTTTCATTATTGTTATCATTTTTATTTATTTATGTATTTATTTTTGCTTTACCAGCCTTCTGAAATCTCAGCTGAAAACCATATTCTCCATGGTAATCTGTTGTTACCGGGACGGTGGAGGCTTGGGATGTAATGCCATATTTGTGCAAACTGTCATTTGGTAGCTCTCCCTTAATTGCTGGTGATTGATGAGCAACATATCGATGCGGCTATCTGTCCTCCATATATACAATTACATAAACATACAGACACACAGACACCTTTTAAGCCCTTGTCCTCTGATCAGGTGTCCATGTAGCATTTACCTGGATCACTGTCGCCAAACCATCTGTTTCATAATACATGTAAGCGAATGGTCCCAACGTGCTTAAGATACATTTTTAAATTATCTGTGTAATTTCTGTTCATATTTAAATTAAGAGGGGGTGGCAGTAAAAACTCTGTAACAGAAATGTCATCAAGTACACTGTCAAACGATTGCGCTGTACGGACTCGCGTACTTGACTACCGATAAACGGCTTTCACGTCAGACTTCTCTGCGCATTTCATTTACTGCTAAGCGGCTCTTATTTATCCAAAGTGCGATACCTGAGCGCAGACCCGGGCTGTTAAACAAATATGAGTCAATGCAGATGTCAGACAGACTGTCCAAATTCTCCCAAAGAATCTGCAGGCACCTGTTTAAAATTGGCTTAGAATAGAAAGCTCTAAGTCTATTATTGAGATATTCTTATTTTCTGTTAGTAGTTAATCTTTCAAATGACAAGAGATAATGCCTAGATATCTCACCTCATCTTTCATCTGTGTATTACATATTAACTGCAGGAGACACTCATGTAGAGCTAGTATCTCACATTTATTATTATTATTATTCATCTGTAAACCTGACGTGTTTCATAATCGCCTTGGCTATGTTAATCATCATGCTCTTCAGGAGTCGTCAAGACGCGGGGAACACAGATGAGAAATTAAAATGGAGCCACAGGGGAAGTAAAACAAGAAATCTGAACATGGAAACACAAGACTTTCACAATAAAACACGAAACGGTGAACGTATATAATACAATATGAAGCAGAGTAAAATTTGGAAACATGACACTTTTTATTTCAATATGTAAATTAAAACAAAACAAAACACCCTCAAATCACATTTAAATTACAGGGAAGACAATGTAAAAACAGCTGCTTTTTTAAGAATAAAATCACTGCATAAAAAAAGCCCATGCAAAGAGAAGAGGAAAAGAACAGATAAAATCAAAGTCAGCTGTCCAGCCACTCCAAGTCTTCCCCTTCACCACCATAAGATTTCCGAGTTACTCCGTAGTCCCATAACAGCTCCTCACCAACTGTGATGTCCTTCAGGGCAATGAAAAGTATTGTCTCCTGAGGTCCTGCAGGGAAGTTCATTGTAAACTTCTGGGGCTTGATGTTGGGATTTTTCCGGGAATGGTTCATTCGCCTTCCATAGGTGTCAATGTTGGGATGACAGGCACAGGGGAATGCAGTGGCGTTGATGCACATACCTCGGGTCACACTTGTCCCTGAAGAAGAACAGATACCCGACTGGGGCCTCCGTTTCCCTTCTGCTTCGCTGATGTATGTCCCGTGGAAATCGCACACGATATCCCCTTTGCGGAAAGGCATAAGTGCGATCACACCTGTAAGTTGAAAGAGACCATCGGTCATGACAGGGCTCTTAGAAACGTTCACTTGCAATTTAAAGACCGTGTAGTCTAAATGATGTGTGCATTTTACCTTTGCCCTTCCGTTCCCCGAAGTCTTGCAAAGCCAGGCCCTTCCACTTCTGCTCTGCAATCGAAGACATGAGGGACTCGTTGTCTTGTATACTGGGCTGCGGAGCAACCCAGGCCTGCAAGATGGCATTGACAGTGGGCTTGTTGGTGTGCCATTTCTCCTTGTCCAAAGCCATCTACACACATGCAGGCTGAGGTGGGTTACCTCTTCTGCCAATTGACTGACCTAAACGAAGTGGTCACAAAGCGAGGTACAAGAAATAATGCAAGTGATTATTGCGGCTTAAAAAAGAAAAATCAACCATATGCATTTTAGTCAATCACGGATTTGTACCTTAAAATATTCCTTATATTTATAATTGAGCTATCTGTGTAAATTTTGGTGTATAACATTGAGTGGGTTGTACTTACATGTATTGTATTATTTAATTAGTTCAGGCTGTTACTGCTATTGTCTCTACACAAATGTAACCCACATAATTTTCTTAGAGATTATTAAAGTATTTTCATTCTGAAATGCATACAAAACAAACAAAGCAACGCAACAGAAGAGGCTCCATTAACATGACATGCCCAGGCCTTACCGAGAATGTACCCAACTCTTTTCTTCAGCTGAATATCCCTCCATTTCTTGTAGTGGTGTCTGTGCTGTGGAAAGCCAGCCTGTACACACTGCTGTTTGGATGGTGGCTCTCCATTCAGGGTGACCGGGAAGGCCTGGAGGAAGGCATCCCATTCTTGGTGTGGCAGGTGCGTAGATGATGTGCTACATGAAAGGTGTAGAGGAGGGGGATGCATCAAATCCATCAAAAGTTTTTAAATGTGGAAACTTGTAACACAGGTTGACTTGTGGTAGTGTGTGATATTTAAAAAAAAAAAAAAAAAGTGTACCTGGCCTGTCCTGGTGTCTGTAGTCCTCCTACTGAGCTTTATGCTGACTCAGCCATAGCATCCTCAGGTTCAGTGCTCAGGCATCTGTGGTTTTTAATGCATGCAAATGAATTAGAGAACCAAGAGAGATGAAAAAGCTAAAATACAAGGGGCGAACATCTCTGACATACAGCAACATATGTGGCTGACTGTTATGAGTACAGGGTTAGGGTTTCTCTGTCAGATCAAAGAAACAAATCTTTCTTAATATGCTGTTGATCCAGTTATGTCAAGCACTCACCTCACTCTCAGGCATTTTACATCTAATGATGGGTTGGACAGTGGGACCCCACATTCTCCGAGGAAGAAATTGCCCCTGTCATCGCTGCCAGCAATTTGATTTTGCAAGGACACTGCACGGATGTTCCTAAAATAGCAGTCCAACAACTCCAGAGAAAAAAAGGAATCAATGTTAAATATCTCATAAAATAAATTCACAAGGT